TGTTAGACACTAGATAGTAGTTTTTGTTTTTAAAGGGATCTCCACACCTTTTATCTGAAGTTGGAAACTACAAATTAGTAACACAAAGCCTGCATTACACATGAGCATGGCTGTGACGTGGGGATTTACCAGGCAGGCCTAATGAAAAGATGTAATAGAGTTTCATTAAAGGAAATGTTAACATCCAGCATATTTCGGAACTTGACCCATACTACTGAGGGTAATAAAAGTTGGGATATTTTGGCCTGTGCTGCTTTGAGTTTGACCTCTGTTTATCTCCCAACTTTATGTAGGTGCAATTCCAGTAGCCCTTTAAAACAGAAAAAAGATCTTTAAGTAGAGTATTTTGTCAACTAGTTTTATGTAAATAATTATTAAAATGTTGTGTTCTGTGACTTTTCTAGCCAAGATGATTGTGCTATAATTGTTTTACATTGGTACATGCCTACTCACTTGTCATACACAAAACATATATGGGTGTACTCAAATATTATATAGAGCACAGCGTGTAAATATAGTGGTATACACTACACATTTGCCAGCTTATTCGGTACACCTAGCTAAATGCTATGCAGTCAGATTGGTCCCGCAATAAATTGTGAACAGTTTTATCTGTGTTAAGTCAAGTGTAGGGTCCTTTTGGAGGCTGTAGTTCGTGGTGCTGTTGAATTGAGTGTTTCTATTGTTTTGTTAGCCCCATTTACATCAAAGAGGATTTTAACAAAAACTGAACATTATAACTGTCATGAAGGTAGGATTTATTGTAGGGCTGTTTTTTAGAGTGCTTCAGTTTTTAGCTAGGCAACTAAGTATATATAAATCTTTATAAATGTTTTACGTAATAGACATGCACCATATGTTCATATGTAGTATAAATTGTACATTTTACAACTCAGTGTACAACAATGTGCAATAATTACTGTGCAATACCATGTCATATTCACTGTGCAATCTATTGCCCATGTGCTGCTACTATTTGTTATCTGTCGTTTGGATTCTTACTGTTTTTTCCTCTTGTACATAGTGTTTATATTATAGATATATTTCCCTACTCTTACTGTATATATATGTTGTTCATTGACCTAGGTTTTTTCTCTAATCCACTTTGTTGCTTTGTTACATTGGATTCCCCATTTGTCGGGACAAATAAGGAATATCTTATCTTAATGGTTTTTATCATATTGGTTGCTGGGGAAAAAAATGCTTGTAAAATTGAATCACTTTGTAATATGTTGTTGTGAAATTTGAATACTATCTAATTCAGAGCACTGACACATGATGCTGATAAAATGTAAAATCTGTGCGTCCATTATTTGCTTTCATAACTTTTCCCATCGAACTCCCATAGGCTGAGAGTGGAGTACCAGCTGAGGACATTGTGGGATTAAGAAATGCACGCTAAAGTTGCATGTTTGACTGGGGTCTGTAGAGACGTACTGAAGCCTATCAGCTGGTGTTTTCTGCCATGTATTTATGAGTCCAGCACTGGAGTTGCCATGGGAACTAGCATTACCCCTCAGGAGTAGCTCCAGCGTACAGTAGCTTGTCCATGAGAAATGCTTCTGCTGGGTTTTCCAGTTTGGTAGGAGAACAATGGGATCTGTTGAATTAAGCTGATCATGCCTGCTAGACATGCCCCTCTCCTCTGGTTGTGTGCGTGTTTGGAAGATCCAGATATACTTGAATACAAACACTCAATTAACCAATGAAGCTGATGTATCTATCCCATATCCTCTCCCTTCATTTCTGTGCTTGTCCGTTTTAAACTCGCCTCTGTACTCAGTAACACCGAGTACAGAACGGGAAAGCAAAGAATGTGTACTCCAAGTATTCTGCTTTTCCTACTCCCTCACATCCCACTAACCCCCCACCCGCTTTCTGTTCAGCTCTTTAGTCAACGAGAAAGTGAACTCTAGTGCTGTGTCTTGACAATTGCTATTTATGTCCCTCTCTCAAAGACATACTCTGTCTGAAGGGGAAACTCCAATGTTGCCTGACCTGCTTTCCACAGTGAAAGATCCTGTCTGGTTAGAGGGCAGGCAGCACTCAGGGCACTCCTTCACTGTACACTCAACAGTGCTCTTCAGTCAGCGACAGTCAAACTTGACTCTCATCATCCTCGGAAGACATTTCAGCTTTGCCTTGGGAATACCAGCTGTACTTTATAACACAAAGCACATTCCATTATCTAATCAGCCACTACAGTGCTGCTTAGACAATGTGGCTGTGGCTGTCACTAGTATTTATTTCTCCCAAATTCTAATTCTCGATGTTTTCTTTCACTGGTAACTCCCTCTATTCGTGCGAGGAGGCTGTAGACTACTATGTGTCTCCTTTAGTACACACAGTGTCGGATCCCTTTTTTGGCCATGTTGTTGGCTTGTCTCTATGGATGGCATTGCCAGTCGGCCCACTACTTCATCTTAGAAATTGCCAGAACTATTGGATAAATTGCCATGAAATATTTTTTTTTACTTTTCCTCTAGTGCCAAAACTTCAGTACTTTTGTTCGTTCGCCCTAAGGGCCTGTCCACACGAAGGCCTCGTGAGAAGCTGCAAACCTGTACAGGGTGTAACCCGTTTCTCACTAACTGTGAGCTAGCGCCACCGCCCGTGACCCTGCAAGTAAGCGGTTATAGCTAGACGATGGATGGATAGCATGCAAAGATGTTAGCATTTAGCACAAAACCTGGTGGCGCGTAAAGCCTCACAGATCATTGCTTTTCAGGACTTGATACACCAGAATGGACACATTTGCAGTTCGGTTTATGCCATATTAGTGTTTACATGCATCGACGTGGTCACACGTTTGTCAGCACATATGGTCCGCTGTACACCGACAGTCTGTGCAGACCCTCGCGGACATGTGTTTTATAGTGTGTCCACACAGGAGGCGTTTCAGCTGCGCTTTTCCAGTTGTCCGTCTCATGACGTCTGATGGAACAGATATACTTCTATTTTAATCGATCCAGCTTTCTACACAGGCTGCATAACGGCCAGCAATATACGGGTATATGGGTAAAGTCAACCCGGAAAATATTTGTATGCTTTTCTTCCATTTTACACATGTAACTACAGTGATTGTGTATTGGGCTCTGAGCACTGCCAAAATGCAGAAGTGCTCCAACTCGGTACTGTGCCTGATTGCATCCTGTGTAGACAGCCGTGTAGACGCCTCCTATGTAGACAAGTGTGTGTAGACAAAATGAACACTGAGGACAGTCACATCTATGTTGATGCAGCGAGTTGTGTGTAGTACTTGGCCATGTAGGCCATGCAACAAAAATGTTGTCCATCATCATTGTGCACTTCAGTCTTTTAATTTTAAAGTTCAAACAACATACTGTCAGCAGTTTTACTTTTAATCTATAGATTAATTCATAATAATTGTCGGTTGCAGCACTAGTTGAGATCAGTAGAACAAAGATGCCAGAGAGTATACATGTAGCTGATACTGCAGTGACTCAGACTTGTATGTTGGGAGAAGTGAAATGGAGAGATGAGTGGTGGCAGGCTCGAGCAGGGTTGTAGAGGAAGAAAATAGGTGGTGGAATGGGGGTGGAAAAGAGGAGGATTGCTCTGTAGAGTGAGAGAGAGTGAGAGAGAGATGTGCATAGTACAACTAGAGGTTGAGTTTGGGTTTACTGCTACCTGCCTTGTCTTTTGAATGTTCCTCTTTGGTTGATGACCACAGTATACACAACTGTGGTGCTTTTATCCTTACTCTGGCATCTCCTAAGCCTAGGGTGATAGTTTGTTCACTGAATATGTCCATATAAAGATACAGAACCTGCTGCAGAAGCTCTCGAGGAGAAGTTGCTGTGTGTGAAAAGGAACTGTGGGGTTCTGTGTATTTCTTTCCCTGCATGTGCAAGCAAGTTTCCCTCTCTATGACTAGGTCTTTTTATCTGTTTATGCACGTGTGCATATGCATGGTCACTGTGATATAAAATTGGACGAGTGAACTCAGTTTACCCAGCTCTTTGTTGAACTGAGGTGAGCCGTGCAGCCCTCATGTGGTTACTCTGGGCTGCTCCAGTTACCCAGTCAGTGGAGCCTCTGTGGTAACCACGGCCAAAATGGTGATTACAGTGCATTGTTACATTGCACATCTCAGGACACTAGAACCAAAATAATAAGAGACAATGGCTCAACCACAATTAGGCCCAGAAACATGTGTCCATATATATTTTAGACGTTGTTTAAATTCTTATCTGGAGTTACGTAACTCTCATGTGTTTGAATACACACACACACACAGGAGATGTGAACATTTTAATGGAATAATGGAATAAAAAGGTCATTTAACAATAAGAGAACCATGTGGAAGAGTGATCAGTTCAGCTAAGCAGCCTGTTTTGGTAAAACACAGGGACTGAGGTGAGGTCTTGACCGCTGCCTGGAGGCCATGAGAGTGCTTATTCATTCACAGCCTTGTGTATCAGCACCAGGGTGTAGGTGGTCAGACAAGGTCAGCCTATTTCAATGACCAGCCGGGTTACCACAGAAATGAGTTATATAAAAAGTATTTGACCAAGTTTGTTTGCTTTGTTGACTCTGTTGAGAAGAGCTTAGCATCCACAGGTCTTTTTTTATTTTATGGTTTAGTTTGCTCTAAGAGCAGCAAAAAATACATTTGACTACATTAAAATCAAAGTGCTGCTACATTTTACTGTCAGTTGTATTCTTAATTGATTTATCAGACAAAACTGGATGGATTACAGCTTGTCTTGGAGTATTGTGGTACTTACCCATCTTTCAACCAAATGTTTGAATTCATTCGTCATACTTGCATTCATGTACATTCTGGCATTGTTTGCCTCATTTAGCAGGTTTCACATTACACTCTTTTTGATTTTCCTAATTTAGCTGCACACAAGAATTATCACCACATGTTCAGCAGCACTGTAGGATACTATAACTTTTGTTCCTGGGTCATGTCAGAGTTGTGATCCTTGTTTCAGTTGTCAGCTAACCTGCTGTGCCTTTTTGTTTTTCAGGTACTGGAGAGAGCGGGAAGAGTACCTTCATCAAGCAGATGAGAATAATCCACGGGTCAGGCTACACAGATGAGGATAAGAAGGGCTTCACCAAACTGGTCTACCAGAACATCTTCACCTCAATGCAGGCCATGATCCGTGCAACTGAGACCCTCAAAATCCCATTTAAGTATGAACAGAACAAGGTGCGTACTGTCAGTGTATCAATGAAACTATTGTCATGTGTTGTGATGCATTATTGAAATGGATATCCACATCCAAATAATTTATACTTCCTAGTTTGTGATGCACATAACATTGCTGAGATAATGAAACACGACTCTATACAAATTTCTTAACTGAATTATGAAAATGATTTAAGTCTTGAAAATGTATTTTCTTAATTAACTTACATAGTTAGTACTATGAGTAACGGGATCCTACAAGAACACCTTATTTACTAAGTTTGCTCAGTTTCGGTCATTTTCACGTATCACATGTCAGCGTCAGTTGGGGGGACCACAAGTTTAAAAATAAGAGAAGAAAGAAGGAAGTTTCTGCTTGAAGCTAAGAGCTACATTAGCTGCTACTACCATAATACATTGTCAACAGTTTTCTATGGAAGTGTCGGCAGTCAGGTAACAAGAAGAATACATAGAATGAAATGTATCTCTGGCTCTGCTGCATTTATTGATTTAATGTTGTTGTTTGTTGCCATAACACGATCAGGAGTTTGATAATGTTATAGCCTAAAAGTGTGGATATGTACTGTAAGTAGTATGTAAACATTCAGGAATATAAGCATTACAGATGTAGTAAATGTGGCCAGTATAGAAAGACATAATATTCTCTAAGACCTGAGTTACTGAGAAACCACACACTTTAAAATCTGTAAGTGACTGCCTCCAAATCTCAGTCATGAATTTAATTTTGCATAAAGTCTTCAGTTACAAAATTGACATGTTGCTTTGTTTTTGTTTTTTGTTCGTTTCTCCCAGAATAATGCCCAGGTGGTGCGCGAGGTGGACGTGGAGAAGATTTCATCATTCGATCAGCCGTACATCAGCGCGATAAAGACGCTGTGGGCTGACCCTGGCATCCAGGAGGCCTATGATCGCAGAAGAGAGTACCAGCTCTCAGACTCAACCAAATAGTACGTCTACAATATATTAACTTGCTAAAATTACACACATTATTTACTTAACATGTGCACATGGAGAACAGTGTCACTGCAGCTGTGCTTTCCAAAATATCTAATGCAGTATGATGAAATGAGTAAATAACAGTT